ATATTAAAGTTTAATTTTCCTGGACTGCTTTTAGTTACTGAAGGTTCTTCCTTAGGCCAACTTTTGAAACCTTTTTTTCTTTTTCTCTGAATTCCTTTGAAGGTTCCTCTTTCTCCACTACTAAGCCTAACTTTCCTAGTTGTTTTGATGGTCACTCTGCTATTTCCTACACCAGCAGAAAATAAGGAATTTTATATAGATACCCAGTTACAAACGTGATGCCAGTGTTTAGGGGTTCTTCATGCCCTGGATCTCTAGTTCCTTTTGCTGCAAACTCTGCATGACTCTGCAAGGGAGAGAGGCTGCGAGGGTGGGTGGCAGAGAAGACAGTGCAGGGACCTATTGAATGTAGGTGCCCGAGGGTTCTTTGAATACAATTCTGAGAAGGAATTGCAGAGAGAAAGGAATAAAAGGGAAGTGAAAATGAAATCTGGGCAGTGGAGCAGGTTGTGTGGAGTAGCAAAGGATGGAGGAGAGCTTGCAGTGACGTCCGATGGAGGTGGTGGCATGAAAGAAACTTGGTCTGTGGTTTCCTGTTTGGTTGTAATAGGGYGTTCGCTGCCCCTAGTCTGCCYGTACCCTGCTTTGTCCGTTGGTTCTTGCTTGTTTGGCACCACTGAGGATTTGTGCTGCTGGGGGTCTAGCAGGTGAGAAGGGAGGGCAGACTGAAAATCTGTTTTTTAGAGTGTTTTTTTTTTTTTTTTTTTTTTTTAATATAACAAAACAAAAACCAGATAGATGGACTCTACTGGCACAAACCAGAACAAAAACCAGATAGATGGACTCTACTGGCACAAACCAGAGGCCTGGCATGTGGCCTGCTTAATTTAGGATTTAAGCCACAGAACTGGTCATGGAAGCACAACCTTAAATACGGATGCAGGAAGTTTGCTGGAAGGTTGCACAATGTTTTCCCGCCACCGGCTGCACGGGTTCAATCATRTATTTGGATTTCATTCGTAGGGCACCTACCAGTGTAGCATCCTGAGCCATGGAGAGACCCTGGATTGCTCCCTGAGGGCGCTGGATTTTTGTGTGCTTTTTTGGTTTGTTTGGTTTCTTTTTCCTTTCAGAAAAACAAAGTCAAAACGGCACTTTCCCRACCTGAACTTAAAAGAAAAATAATTCTTCACTAAATTGCGATTTACCAGCAAAAGTGAGAATGAGCAACTTCACCAGTGGCCTAGAGGGCAATAGGATTTTGCTTATAAAAATGAAGGAAATTTCCTCCCACTTGTTTCTTCCTTCATAATATGTAAAGTTCYTGTAGGCCAGAATGTGGCCTCTACTTGGCACCTGTACGGCTCCAAAAGAAATCTTTATGGAGAAAGAGTAATATAGAATAATTAAAAAATCTCTAAAAGGAGAGAAAAGTTCTTCAGAGTTATAAAGAACTCTGTTCTTTATCCTCGATAGTGTACAGGGATGTTTTCAAGGGCAGAATTTGGTAGAAATGCCACTGTTGCACACAGTGGTGCAGACCAGATATGGCACTGTGGACTCTTCATCAGTGACAAGCACAAAATATTGGCTCATTTGAAGAGTATGTGCATCTCTGAGGTAGGAGTAAGTTATGAGCAAGCAAATGCTAGTGTGTATGTGTATCTATTTTAAAGTAGAATAGCCCTTTATTTGAGGAATATAGTTTCCCTCCCAAATACACCCTAACCAGMTTACTTTGTATCCAGTTTTGGCCGAGCTAAATGACAGGTTCAAATCGGTGCTTCTGATGCAGCCTGAACTTTCCTTTCTCCRTAGGTAGCAAAGTTTCCCTTTATTTACTTTTTCCCTCTTGAGCCTTCTTTGAATATTCCAACTTAAACCGCCGTGCCGTCTGCTTCCGTGTCCTGCCCTTGGCTCTGCTGTGTTCCTGGGCAGTAAAGAGGCTACTCCAGAGGCTGCTCCTGCCTCCTTGTCTGAGCAAGATTTTCAGATGCAGTGACAGGAACGCGGTAGCTGGTGGTGGTGGTGATCCTGCTGCTATGGTGGGTGCGGAAGGCAGTGCCGGCACCTCCGGAGGTCCCCGGGGCAATGGTGATTGTGGTGATCCCGCTCCTGTGGGGAGCTGGGAGGGCAGTGCCGTCGCCTCCGGAGGGCCCGGGGGGCCTGGGGAAGGGAAGCGCCCCCGGGTCGCTYCTTAGGGTGCTCCTGGTGCTCTGGGGAGGCCCCGCGCTGAGGCACGTGCAGGAGGGCGGCCCTGACGCGCGGCGGCCATGTCAGGCTCAAAGGCTTTGCCCGGCTTGAGGYCTTGGCGTTGCCGTACGCTGATACTGCAGGATAAGGCTCTTCAGAATGCCTTAAAAAAATCAAAGAGTAAAACCAGTTGTTTTTATCGAGGCTAAAGCACATTTTTCTCCCTCGTTCCCCAGCACCACCTGGGCCGCAGCGGCAGGTAGCCCCGCGCGCRGCTCCTCGGGCGGCCGGAGCTGGGGCGCGAACAAAGATGGGCTGTTCGGGCAAGACAAGGCGCCGTTGAAGCCACGGCTCGTACGTARCACAGCTCTGTCCAGGCCCATTCAGAAAGGAGGGAAAGATTCAATCTTTGCCAAACTTGGAAGCCTGGAAGTATTACAGAGGATAAAAATGATTTACTTCTAGTGGGTGTAAAACATATTTTCAAAATAAACACTGGAACCGCACTTGACTCTTACTGCGTGTATTAATCGTGTGCTGTGTGGGCAGGAAAGCTAGAAAGTGTTCCACGTGGTGGATCTTCATTTGGTAAATGCAGGTTTGTTCCAACCCTGACTAGCACTTCTTATCAAACAGGGTTTCGTACGTACCAGCTTAAACGCCAGATACGGCCTGAGGGGTCATTCCATTGTGGCTTAGTTTACTTCTAGCAAAACATTTTACTTCTTTTAGTGTTTTCCTGGTATTAATAAAACCAAGTAGTGATAGGTGGGATTCATTTGGCTCTTCCGTTTTTGCCTTCCCTTCCTTAAATGGAAGCTTCCACTAATGGCTGCAACCTTGGAAAAGCTGCACTAGCTTTTGTAGCTGAGTTACAAACTGG